TGGTGGTCTTACAAGTAGGCAGCCTCTTCGCTTGCACGGCTCTGGTTCAGAGTGCCGCCTCACTATCCTTACTGCCCTTGCGGCCTGCACATGCTCCAGGGCTTGTGGGGCCTGAGGGGCCCACCGTGAGGCCCACCGTCGTGGGGCCCTCGGGACCATTGCCAGGAACTGAAGGTTGGATGGATATGCGCAGACCCACTCTTGGTGAGGCGTGGCCACCAGAACCTCTGATCTCCGACATGCAGGCTTTCGTGTTCTCTGATGTCTTCAGCGTATTCCTCCTGCTTGTGTTGGTGATGATGTGCGGCTTTTGGCTGCAGCTCATGGAAAGTATCTTTCGTGGCAAGGTAGCCCTCACCGTGGCATTCTGGTACTTCGCCCTGGATCCCGAAGATGTGGCCAAGCCACTGGCATCTCCACCGTCAGTATGGTGGGTGCTGACGAGACGGCATGTTGGAACTTTGGCCAAGCATGCCTGCTTCGTGCTGCTGCTTCCCAAGCTCCTGTGCTCTTTCCTGTGTGGGTTGTCGGTTTCCAGAACGATCTCGGGGTCGCACTCTGATGGGCCGGGAGCGGCACAGAGTGGATGTGATCAGTGCAGAGTCTGCGTGTGGGAATGGGCGGCATGGGCACAGGCCTGCTCGGGACAGCCGGCGGTGTGTCTGTCTGTTTTCCCAGGGCACGATTTCTTTGAGGCAGTCAGCATGATTGCGGAGTCCGTGCCCCTGGCCTTGGATACATTGCGAGCACATTTAGGGGCTGCGTCGCTCTCTGCCTTCTTCACGGGTGCCAGCTTGCCATTCTTGGTCGTCACACTGCTGTCCTTTGTGGTTTGGAGGGAGCCTGACGAAGTCGGGGATCACCGGTCAACAGAAGACACGCTGCAGCTGATGTGGCTCTTGATATTGCTCGTGGTGGCACTTCCCGCTGGCCTGGCCTGGTCAACCTTCAGTGATGCTTTGACGGACTCCCTGCTGACCTGCTGTCTCTTGGATGATGTTTGGTTCCAAACCTTCCAAGAATTCCGGGAAGAATTCCGAGAAGATTTCCGGGAGGCGCCGACTCCTCGGACCGTCCCGACAATCCCGGTGACCCACGCTTCCTCCCATGTGCTGTGGAGCAGCAGGCTGGTGCCTGTAAGGCTCCGCATCTTCCTGACTCCGAAGCCGTGAGATAATTTTGATATTTTTGGATGTTTGGTGCACATGCGAACGCGCGCGCGCTCGCGCGCCGAAAGTGATGATCTGCTCTGCGAGCATGCTCCGCAGTGGTGCCCTCAAGGACTGAAGAGACTTGGCCGATCTCGGCCAGCCGCTGGAACAGTTTGCATGCGTGATGCACATAAGGCCTGCATTGATGTGGCAATGAGTCAGAAGTAGAATGCTTCTGGCCTGTTGGCATTGCAGATAGGTTGGGACAGGTTGGGGCCTCCCGGAACGCAGGCTAACTCAAGTTGATGGAGCTTTTGCAATCGTGCCATGTGCCGTACATCACAATATCTATATATCACGGTGCTGCAGTGTGCTGCGAACGTCATCGACGAGACACTGCAGATGGAGGGGGCAGATATGTGCAGAGACCGCTTGCGTGAGGAGGAGGGCAGCCTGCGCCTGATGAAAGTCCTTGGTGCCTTCTGGCCATGGGTTGCAGTTGTCCATTGGCACCTGCTCTGGTGTTGGAGTGGGCCCCCGGAAGCAACATCAGCACGCGTGTGACATGGCTCGCACTCGGCTTCGAATCTACTCATGCGAACGAAGGAAAGCCAAAGGAAGCTGCGCGAAATATTTCACCGCTTGAGTCTGGTGGGCCCCGGAATGGTCCGCTTGAATCTGTTTCTAAGCCCTCTGAGACCTCCGCGCCGACGCCCAAGCTTCTTTTGGTGGGTCGGCCGCGACGCCCATCCTCCTCCTGTTCCGTCCATGGAGCCAGCAGTGTGTCCTTTCGAGTAGGTCCAGCTCGTTTTTCTTTCCTGCCGCAGGCGGCGAAGGCGAGGCGCAACGGACGTAAGATCCCACAAAAAGCACCCAGTACTGCTGCCGGCTGCCGATGGCGATGGCTGCTGATGCTGATGCTGATGACGACTGCGACGAGCTTGAGGACGACAAAGATGACCATGATGGAATGGACATCTGGACATTTTTGCGTTGTAGTTCACTTGCAAGGAGGCCAGCCGCAGAAACGAACCAACAAATCACGCGATCCTTTTCGGAATCTTGCGGAATATTAGCAGGGCGCAAGAGAGACTGTAAGCCACGCAGGGCTAGGTGCAGTTTGGATGGTTTCTGAGAGAAGTTTCCAGCATACGTACCATGCGAAAGGATGCGGGCTACAATCGGCCACAAGCAGTCTACTTAAGGTAAATGCTTAGAAGGCGTAGACTGATGTATGCGGCACATGCTGTTTATGACTGAGCACTGAGCCGGACGGAGACCTGCCCAGGTCTCAGCCAAACGGCCAGGCAACTGCACATGTCATCACATGTCTTCTGACTTTGTGCGAATTGTTGTGGGCTAGGGCCTATGGTGGAATGTGGGTTCGCAGCCTATACGTTCAATGTGTTCGGAATGAACGAAGCTTCAGGATTAAACATGTAGGGCAAAGCTCGATGTTTCTGGCCGAGTGCAGCTGCTTAAGCATGCCAGGGCTGCCCCAATTATACATTTCTTGGCATGAGGAACTTCCGCATTCCAGAGTATCGAAAGTCGCTTGGACTTGTGGCCACCTCCGCCGTGCCGGTTTGGCTCAGCCCTTGTGCAAAAGCGCATCAGCCGCTGATTTGACCATCTGAAGCCCAGGCAAGAGCCACTGAGTGAAACCAGAAGCCCGGGACGAGAGCTGAAAGCTGCCCTCAGCCACCGGCGTCCTCACCGAAGTCCCCACTTCCTGAAGTCCACAACCGTAACCAGAGCCCTACACAGTCTCGTCCTAAACAACAGTCCTATATACACACACGCACTCAACTATGAGCCTCTGATGGAAAAGCAGAAGACGAGCACCATCGAGGACATGTTGCCTATGGAAAAGATACGTCTCAACATCGGCATAAGACTTAGATTAGATCCTGGATTAGCGGGCAGCTATGGCTGCATTTAGTCCGCCTTCGCGTGCCACAAGCTATGCAGGCCTTGTGAAGACCACCTATGATCGTTTGGGCTGGCGTTGTCAAACCCCAAGCCTTAACACCTGTTCAGGTGCTGACGTTGAGCGTTTATGTGAGAAGGGGTGCCAACGCCCCGCCTTTGCGGCCTACTCCACGTGCTGCACACATTGTCAAGGCCCGGAAGGGCCACATGCATCTTGGCCGGTGTTTAGATTTACATAAACCCTAAACCCTAAACCCTAAATTACTCTGAAGGCTCTGAAACCTCTTCCGAGCCTCTTTGAGACATCCACGCCTTCCTGTGCCCAAGGCCAGCGACTGCGCGAAGAAGGTAGAGCTCATAGGGAGGCGGGTGAATGCTCCGCAGGTCCGGCGCCCTGCCCGCAAAAAAAGCAGAGGCAGGGGACTAAAGATATCTACCCTAAACCCTCAACCTTAAACCCTAAACCCTAAACCCTAAACCCTAAAGTATGGGAAGCTCTTGATGTTTCATGGTTCAGGCTGGTTCAGGAATGTGGGATGTTCAGGGGCTCTTTGAACCAAGGGGTGAGGGCACCATGGTGATCGTCCGCTGCATCGCTGCGACCCTTTTTCGCAGCTTCGACAAATTTGGGCGGATGGAGCCTCGATCTGAACTCCAGCCCATGAGCTGTTTATGAAGATTTGTGGAGATAAGAAGAACGCACAGAATGGCTAGCATAGATGTGCTTTCAACATGTGTCGGAGGATCCCTTCGCCACTGTGGACTGGTCCTACTCAGATGGCAGCGTGGTAAGTGTCGGAAGGACGAAATCTGCGTGGGGTCAGCACATGAACCCCAAGTGGGAGCACTGCTGTAGAGCAGTGCCCTACACCGGCTCGGGCGGAGGTGACAAAGCGCCCCGGAGATATCTTGGAATGAGAGACCTTTCAACTTGAAGGCCTCGTAAATTTCACAGCTTCAGGCTTTTTTGACCGTTTGACCATGTTTGGCCAAAACAAATCAGGCTCAGAGTTCGGAGCAGCACCATGTTTGACCTCTGACAATACAAGGTGCGCTTTCAGGTTCTCGAGGAAAACTTCGGAGGGCTGGGCACCCCTACGTTCTGCTGCCTGATTGCATCTGTGCAGCGCAGGGGATGACTAAGTTTGAAGATTCTAGAGTTCCAGAACTCAGAGCTCCGACGCTCCAGCTCTGCGCTGTCCGAGGCGGCGAGCAGACGGTTGAGGTTGACATGCTCATAGCGGGGGCCCGCATGGCTCCCCGCCTTAAAGGTTAAGGGCTTATAAGGGCTTGTGGGGCCAGGCTAGGGATCCACCCCATATGCTGTTTGGCACCTTACAAAGGGATCATATGTGGAAGAATGCAGTGATGCATTGGCGATGCATCTGGTCACTGCACTTTGAGGTGGGGGCGGGCCTGATGCGGACGCAGCCCCAGCCCATCGAGCTGTTCAAGCGGGGTGAGAAGACAGGGACTATCCTGGTCCAGCTGGTGGTCCACCTGGAGAATGCCGGCTCGCCGGTTCAGTCCCTTGGAAGCAGTCGAAAACGATGTAAAGCTTTGCCTCGAAACGGTGGGCGTTGCTGGAGGTCTAACTTCACGTCGGCAGAGGCGAGCAAGTTCTTGTCGCCTGTCAAGCGAATCGGTGTGTCTGGTGGGACAGCACCATTTTTCAGCTTGTTGCTCAAGGAGCCATGCAAGCACAGCTGGTGCTGTCTCGTGATGCTTACTTACACCAAATGGCACACAGAGACAGCTACATTGTGCTTTGATTTGCTGCGTAGAGGAGAAGGACGGCATGCGCTTCGGCGACTACTGGATTGGCAAAGACCTTTCCCGTGCCATGGACGAGGTCCAGTTCTACGAGAAGTGCTTGAAGCTGGGAAGAAGTTCGACCGGGGAGATGCAGATGCCCCTGGGATGGGCTCGGGCTCAGTCAAATTTTTTCTCAAACTTGTTTCGTATGGTCTCTCATTTGTTTCTCTTAAGCCTTAAACTCTGCCCCACGACCTAAGCTTTGCTGCGCTAGTGTACAGTGGTGTGCAGGTCTATTTATCGCCTGTCCCCGATCCTCATTATGCTTCCGGCACTCTGTTGCATCATACTAGCCCTTATTCGAAGCAAATTGCTGACACAGTGACCCCTTTCTGTGGCATGACACGCAGTGGCAGTGACGCGGGAGACACAAGTGACGCCAGCTTGCACCGAGTTGCGCCGAGGCTCCTCAGCTTCATGTTCGAGTATGCTGGTGTTCTCGAAACCACTGCAGAGGGCGAAGAGGGCTCTGAACTGCAGCTTCTGGTTCCTTGGCCACTTCGACTTTATATAAATCTTGTGGAATGCTATTTTGAGATGTCTTTTCGAGGTTCTCGAAAACCTGCGCCATCGCCGGGCTGGCTTGCGGTTGCTGGACATCAAGGTTCTGGCCGCGGAAGAACTCCCAAACCCGATGCCCTGAAACCCCAAAAGATTGGCTCGTTGATGCTCTGCGGAAACAACCTTTTACACATGGAAGCATTTTGTTAAACCTCTTGCCCGCAATTCTCCGGAACACCCGTAGCTCTCGAGAGTTGAAATGCCCCGACATGCCTGGAATGTCTGTGTTTGCACGGTTTCCAGCGCTGTCGGTCCTAAACAGGTCGGTGAGAAGACCGCTGCAGCCAACTGGAAGGGGAAATCACGGCTGGCGGCACTTCGTCAGGGCCTCATCGACGAACACACGAACTCCCAGGCTCCAGCTCGAAATGCTGGTGGATATAAACATGAAGGTATTGAAAGTCCGGTTTCAGGTTCGGGACACCAACAAGACCGTGGGACTGTGACCGCTAGGGCTCCCGAATCATCCTGAACTCGGGAGCTTGACGTGGGAGTTCGAGGGCTTACGGAGACAAACGGCCGCCCTTGGTCGAAGTGAAGAACAGGGCATCTTTCGCCTGCGCTCTGCTCGTCTCTGCTCCTAATGCCAGCTTCAAGTCAAGATCCAGCATCGGCTTTGCATAGCCGGACACTTTCATAGCAAGCTCGTTCCTTCGGACTCCAGTGAACAATATGTCAAGGGCGCAAAAAGCAAGGTGAGCGACCCTTGAAGCTGACTTTGAAACCCTGCGCCCCTAAGAAGTGCTGGGAGGCAGAGGGATTCCGGCTCGAAGGTTTCGACGGACAGAACCCGGCGCTGATCTCCATGGATCCACTTCTAGACTTCGGAGGCCGGTGGTACGCGAAGCCATGCAACCCAAAGTATGCCCAGGTAAGTTCACGCAACATTGAGTCTCGATCCGGGTTCCCAGGGCTACCATGAGTAGGTTCCGCACCAGGTGAGGAGGGCCACAGCAAGTCAACCCAGAAGAAAGCGCGGCGGCTGATGCTGCAGAGATTGCCGTCTGCAGAGATCTTCATGCACTTTCTGGACATGCGCCTTGCCAAAGATTTGGTTTGCGACATGCATGCTGATTGTTGCAGGGTCGCCGTCAGCATGCCAAGACATGCCAAGCGAACCGAAGCAGGGCGTTATCAGTTCTTGCCGTTGAGATGTGCATACTGCCGTCCACTTCGACACCAAAGGCACCACTACGATGAGCCTCAGGCTCCCAGCCCGGCTGCGCCGGCTTCCCCGGCTGCGCCCTGTGGCACCGAGCTCCTGGAGGTAGGTTCAATCGGGCTCCTAAGGCTTCTTTTTACCCGAATTGGGTGTCACTAGTGGCAGCACGGCCCCAGAATGTGTGCAGGTGGTCCTGTCGGAGATCTGCAAGCAGTTGCTGGCTGCACTGGGCTGGTGATACACCCTCCACGCAATTTCCAATTGGTACTGTCGATACTTGTTACCACCCATTAAACCTGTACTTCCGTGATGGTGCGCACGGTTTGGAGGTGCTCGGTGAAGCCTCAACAATCCTTCGTCCCCAAAGCCATGGGGCTTGGTTGTGACGCATGTTGTGCTGGAACTCCAGCTTTCGTCATGTTTGGTTGATTGCAAACATCCTTGCAAACATTGGGCGGGAGATGTTTTTGGCAGTTGTGCTTTTGGCTGGTGATTTTTTTGCAGAAATGTGGTGGGCGTGTGAAAGGCATGTCTGCGCTTGCGCCGTTATGCCCCTCAATCTTGAAAATGTAAAATTGCAAACCTGAGCCCGAAACCCTTCAGACGTACCCTAAGCCCTTTGCAACGAAACCATGAACCCAAAACCTTGCCTCAGACCTTAAACCTGCACCCTGAACTTCAGCCCCGGCCCGATTCGAGATCTCAGATTTACAGCCCTCGAGAGGGCGGGTGGAGGCCGGCAGGTTTTGTTTCCATGTTTTGGTTCACCAATGGTGTTGCAACTTCATGGTACTAGGTGGGAAGAATATGTGCACGTCATGTGATGTGCAGCCTCGAACAAAGGTTGGTGCAGCTGGCGATGGCTTGCCGGAAGTGCGAAGCCCCTCAGCGTCTCGGCTCAAGTGAACAGGGTCCGGTCAGGGTTTGGGTTCCGTAGAGTCTTGTATGGGTAAGGAGCATTTTTATCATAGCTTCGCAGCACGTCTCTGAGAACATAGCCCGGACGGCTGAACCTGGAACACGAGGAAGTGGATTGGCAGCTCCATCGCGCTCGGCTTTGATGACGTCTTCGGCAAGGAACAAGCAACAGCCCCAACGAGCATGGTTTCGGTTTTCGCATTTTGGTGCGGCCATGGAGCATGCCCACACTTGCGTCCTCGCAGGTCACTCATGCCCGCATCTGTGCCTGAGATCACAGCACGACGAAATACCCGCCCACCCACCCACCCCCACCTCCACCCCCGACAAGTGACCAGAATAACGTGGGCACAAGTGACCGGGATCATGTTTGCACAACTAAGTGATGGTGCTGCCGCAAAAGCGTGATGCCGTGAGACCGACAAATGGGACAACTGACCCGAAAATCCCAGGCTTTCGAGGGGCATTCCTGCCGTTTCCATCCAAGCAAATTTTCGACTCATCTCATCGACTCAAGCCGCCATGTGCATCTTTTCCAGTAGCAGCGAGGCAAGCCTGATTAGCGCTACGTGACCCACTTGGGGGGCCTCAGGAGGCTAATGGCCGTGTTGGGCCTCAAGACATTCCCTACTTTAGCGGTCTTGTTGCACACGCAGATTCATATATAATTCAGGCTCATAAATACACAACATGTATACATACACATATACAGAACCCAAAACGTGCACCCTGAACCTTGCGAAGGCATGCAGCGTGTCACACCTACTCCGGAGCAATGGTTGGGATGTCAGGGAGGGGAGGGGGGGAGGGACGCTGCAGGGAGGGCCCTGCCCTGCACCAGCCTCTTGCACCCCTCGCACAATGTGAGGGCAGTTGGTGCCTAGGTTGCCCAAAATTCTTTTTCGTTCGAACATCTTTCTGCCGAATGCCCATGAACTACCTTGGCCGCCCAGCATCCATGAACTAATTAGTTCAAGACATCCAAACGCACGACAAACCCCCAACGCCTGCTTCCAATAGCTCTGCAAAGGGCCACGTGGATGGTCGTGGTTTTGGCGCCGCTGAATGCGCGTTGCGCAAGTCAGTGTTGGCCGCGTCCCGAGTTGGTTTGGTAGGGTCTGTTTCTTCTGTGAGTTTCTTGCGGTCATCAACTTGAAGGGAGAGTTGGGAACGCCCCAGCCGGCACAGTCTCCACTGAAAGTTTCGGCAATCGCGATGCCACGGTCATCCTTTATCCTTGCACCATCAAGGTCAAGATCTTCGATTGGGGCAGGCCATTCAATTTGCAAACAGTTTGCAAAGGGTCGACGGCTGTGGCGGCCTGCACTTCCTATGCATGGCTGCATGACCCATTTTCGCATACCGTTGTCCAAGTCTCGAGCTGCCATTTGCTTGGAGGTCCGAGCTGAACACGCTGCGGGATCATCCCGAACTGACGCCGGAAGAGCAAAACGACAGGCTCCACTTCTGGCGACTTTATGTCGGAGGTGTCGACCGGTGGGGTGCCGAGCGCAGTTGGTCGTGTTTCAATGGGAAGTTGCAAGGAAGTGCTCTGACCATCTCTGAACACCAAGAAGCCTGAACCACGCCTGCCTGGCCTAGCGTCGAATGTCCGAGTTGCCCCAGTAATGGCCTAAGGCTGGCATGGGAAGCCGTGCGGGCATACCGCCATCGCTACTTGGCAAGTGAATGACAGTGTTTCTTTTGACAGGGGGGTGTCAAGAATGGTGCCATCCCCACATCGTGAGCCGTGAGCCCCTGCTCTCTGAGGCTTCGGCAACCCTCACGGCTGGCAGCGTGTGCAATTGGCGGTCTATGATTTCGACTCTGCTACAGAGAGTGACTTCATGGGCCAGGCGGGAAACAATGCAAGAGTGCGGCAGTTCGCAGCGTGCTCATGTGGGCGAAGCATGGTTTGCTGCCTAGAAAGGAATCCCCCTTTGGCAGACCCACTTGGATCAGGTCACAATTGATTTGGTGGAGATGGCCGAGACGACCATGCCACTGCTTTCCGCCAAGAGAGAACCTGTGGTGGGCAAGGCGACCAGGGTGTTACAGGATTACAGGGGCTGTTAACACAAAAGCCTACTAGTCCCCGGGTGGGGCCCAGGGTGCAGGCGTCTGCGTGGCGTCCATACTGGGTTTTTGAGACCGCTTGCGACTGCCTGTGTCTCTGGCTTTGTGAGTTCTCACCACCGGTTTTGCCTCTTCGGGAAATTGGGGAAGGGACTTGCCTTCAGGAAGGCTCGGCTTGCCAAGACTATGCCACCCAGCTCCCCAACGTTGCTTTTTTCTTGGGGATGCAGGGTCCAAAACTCAGTTCGGGCTTTTAGGCCAATCAAATCAAGGCACTGCAAAGCGATAAGAGGTACATTGCTAGATTCAACCCAGCACTTCGAAGGCCTTTGTTCGAAGCACTCTGACTCTTTTGTACAAAAAGCACATGTTAGCCTTGAAAGAGATAAGTGACAACATGACAGCTGTATGTTGTAGGATTGTAGGCATGCACGAGTCGAGGGGACCGACCCTTGCTCCAAACAGGCATCTTGCCAGTAGCTCCTTGCAGTAGGATGGCAACGCGACCATCACCTTCTCCGTTCGGTGGAGGAGGCGCCGGGTGCGGTCGAAGTCATGCCGGGCCACCACTCCACTCCCAGCATGCTGTAGTCGTATCCCGGGCCGGGTATCATTGTCACAAGCTGCACAGGCACGAGCCGAGCTCCAGGCTTCAGGGGTCCTGGCAGATACGAGTCATATCTGCCAGCAACTTGCCCGTGCCAGCGGCCTACCTCGTGTTGATGGGCTTGCGCTGGGTTCATGATGGTTCATGCATGTTACATTCCGGTGCAGCTACATTCCTTGTACATTACAATCGAGGTGCGATGGCTTCTGGGCCTCGATCTCCCCAGCTTCCTCACGAGCGCTCGGAGGATTTTCTGATCCCTTTGTACATATCACTGCGATGAGTGACGATCACTCCTATCGCTTCAAGCAGAGACCTTCAGCGGCATTGGACCTTTGCAGATTGCCTGGAGAGATGACGGATGTTTTGACTTTTTCAGGTACCAGCATCAAGGTCAAGAACCTGCACCCGGCAGCTCGGCAAAAGCAATGTGAAGGGACCGAGAGCGGACCGCTGTAAGCTTATAGTCGTACAGTCTTGTACGGTCTTACACCGTCTTACACTTGTCGGCAAATGCTTGTGGAAGGCATTGTTGCCCTTGGAGAATCCAAAAAACAGACCTGCTCAGGAATGGAACGAGACTTTCGAGCTTCCAGTTGCGCGTCCAGAACACGCCTCTCCCCAGGTGGGCGAGAAGAATGTTGTGCCATTCTCTTAGAAGCTGCTACACATCCGACAGACAGGATCTGAGAGTGTTTTCGGCCAATTTCAATTGCAGTCAGTCTACAGCACAGTAATCAGTAAGAGAATCAAGGACGCGCGTTGACACAGCCAAGCTTTGCACCGCTGCCTCGTGAGGCCATCGTAGGCTCGGAAAAGGCCATGGATTTTCCGCCCGAAGCTGGGTGACAATGTTCTGAGATCTTTCTGAGGCGGTGAAGATGGAAAGCTTGTGACGGACGTTCGGTTTTCAGGGCTTTGCTTTCTTGGGTGTTGCACGCCAAAGTGGGCAGGAACTGGAAGCATCTGATTAGAATTACAAGTTCACACTCGAATGCGTTGCTCGTTGACTTAAATGTGGAGCCCCGAAGGTCCCAGTAAGGTCCCCACTACGCGACTACGCGCATTGCCCCTATTGGGGCTCATGGTACTCCACGGCCCAGGACCTTATGCTCCCGGCAGTCTGCCACACCGTGGAGGACAGCAAGGCTTATGGATGTGGGATGATGTGGGACTGATCCGAGTTCGGGTTTTGGAAGTTTATGTTTCAGGCCCGCCCCCTCCCCCCCCCCCCTGCCAATTTTTAATGCGGGTTCTGTTTGGGTTCTGTTTCGCTTCGCTCTGGAAGGTTGAAGCGGAAGCCATGCATCTTTGGAGGAAGATGCTGAACACGATCTGCCTCGTGGCAGTAAGGGGAGGTCGCTTCGGGCCATTTGGGGTTTCGAGTTCGAAGCTGGTTTTTGTACTTCGATTCGTGCCAAATCTTGGCAAGGCGTTGCTGTTGCGTCAGCTCAGGCCTAGACTTGGTTTTGGGCACATGTTGGCACTGATCGACTGCCGCATGCCAGGGCAAGCCAGGAACCGACTGCTGCTCAAATCCAAGGTGGTCGGCAGTTCCACAGTTTCCTCGTTTGAAGGGCCTTGGCTGGGTGCAGAGACGACGCACGACGAAGGGCGACCTCGTCCCAGAATACTCGCAGAGAGCATCCATTGCTTTCAAGCTGGCAAAGCCAGCCAAAGTGTGACATCAAGAAATTGACAATGGTGTTGTCGAGCGGTTTGGGGCACTCTATGACATCTCGTGGCATCCTTCACCGCAGGGCAGTGGAGTATGGCTCTTCGACGACAGCACCGACCCCAACAGCCGCGGACAGGAGCGGGCAAAAGCTGTGCGCCAGTTGTCGTGACGTAATGGCCCATAGGGGCCGGCAAAATTCAAAAACATGATTTCGAAGAATACTCCCCGGAATGGGCTGAGTTTGTGCTTGGGCCTGGGGGGGCAGGAGCTCACCGAAGACATGCTTCAGTCACGCAAGGGCTACACGTTGGTCCAGGCTCCGTGCCGAGCAATACGCAGGGCTCAGGGATGTGGAGGCGAGCTTTAGGTAGAAGGAGTTTTCGAGCATCCTTTGGGCTTGGAGAATGTAGTACCCGACCTTGACTCATCTTGACTCAAGGTTGCAAACCTGGGGCTCCTCCTCTCTCCTGATCGAAGCCCGGAGCCCAGCAACCGCCACTTTGTCCCTGCATTTGAAGTTTGCTTACGAAGCTTTCTTCCGCCCCTCCAGGCGTCAGGGCGGTGCGGCAGGCGAAGTCCAAGGCAGCCTTTGCGTCTGGCCCAGAAACCTGGGAACTGTAGAAGAGATCGCGAGATGTCGCGAGGTTGCTTTCATGACAAGTTGCTCTGTGTTGAATACAGGCTGGATGAACTTCAATCATCTTCACTCAGGGTGCCTCCAGAGCACAGAGAGTTTTTGTTTCGTGCAGAAAGCCCAAGCGAGGCCAGTGAGTTGGCTGGCAACACGAAGGCCTCGGAAGCAAGAAGCTCGGGAGAGGGCAAAACGTGTGGGGGCGCAAGAGACAGAGAAGGCAGGCCTACTTGTTCGACTCGTTCGAGCCATTGTTAAATATTGAACGATATGGAACGAACTTCAAAGATAAGGCTTGGATTTAAACAGCCGAATCAGGCCATACCGGAATACGTTGCATCGATAGCAGTTTTGTGGATGGCAGCTGGAGTTCAATATCGGGGCTTTCACATGGGCCCAGGCTATCCTCGCATCTTCCCTACTTTTGATACAACATGGCACAACCTTTCGGATGCTCCGAAATGTTGCTCTGCAACTTGCTCCGACATAATTCGATCCGACATAATTCACCGCTAGCGCGAGGCCGCCTCGGCAAGGGTACCGAGGCAAATTCAGGGTTCACTAGGCGCTACGGGAATAAGGGGAGGTGGCGGGGGGGGGGGGGGGGGGGGGGGGGGGGGGGGCAAGTTTCACATCAACCCGCCACGTCGTCCGCGGGCTCGCCGCGCATCTTAACGAGCAGTAATGCTACCAAGACGTAGGGGTTAGTGGTGGGTAGACCTTTAGAAGGTTCCCTAGACACCTCAGGCCTCCGGCCTCGGCGGATAAAGATGATGAAAGGACCCCCCACTCTGCCTCGTGCAAGGCTGTCAGCGGGGCACTGCCATGTCCAGCGGATGCCAATCTTTACAGCTGCAAGGCCGATAGAGCGTGTGCAAATCTGTGCAGAAACCTTAATAAGTGTGTTTTGGTCTGTGCTGGCCAGAAGCTCATCTGGAATGTGCACGTGCGCAGGCCTGGTGCGAGGGTGTGGTGCCAGGCCGACACGGGAGTCTGGTAGGCCTGAAAGCATATTGTGAAGCCAACGTAGCTGCAATAGTACTGCATTTTGTTGTGGCCGGTGCTTTTGCTTGCCAACCTGAGGGGTTGGACTGACTTTTCACAAATGTCAGCACGCCAGCTTGCCCTGGTTTTGTAGCCGACCTGTTGCGGAGCCCCCTTTCCTTTCAAGTTCCATCCATCACAAACAGCCTGCTTGTGTCGGAGGGGAGTTTACTTAGGAGGAGGAAGGGTTAAGGCGACCACGATCGGATGAACTTATTGTGGTATACTGAGGTCGGTGTGCTCTTGCCACACTGGTTTGAGCCCCACCTTTGCACAAGGGCCAGGCACAGAAAAGGGTTGCCCTCCCATCCAAGAGGTTCTCCTTGCCTTGCCATTCCGACCCGAACAAAACTAAGCGCTCCTTGGCGTTGACGTGCAGAGTATATACAATCATGTTCACAATTCGGCCGGTGCCACACCCAACTCACTTTCACCACCAATAGTTAAACAATGCCACTGTCAAAGGCACGTGATGTGAGCAGCTGAAACTCTGGAGGGGCTGAGCATGCTTCTGCAGGTTTTGAAGCAACAGGCTGAAACGAAAGCAAGTGGCCCTCAACCCTAAAAAACCGTAAAGCGACAGAAACTCTAAAACCATCCACACCTCACGCCCTGAAGCTCACGCCTCGCCCTTTGCTTCAGCCAGGAGAGGCTGTGAAGTCCACGCTCGGTGGAAAGCTCCGGGCTCAGTTGCGGTCTATTCTCTGTGAGCGAGAGAGAGCTCGTATGTGTTCAGTTTTTCTGTTGCTATCGCACATGGGAACGAAAACCTTCACGAACGTGAGGCCCTTCCGAGACATAGCAAAGTCACACTGAACCGACTGCGAACAGGGCGCGGGGAGCGGGGGACCCCTCCGTCTCTTCACGCCCGGCAGAAGAAGACAGCGAGCCTTTGGTACAGAATGTCAAGTGAGTTCTTGATCATAGCTTTAGGCCTTCTGTGTTGGCAGTTCCCTGGTCCAGATGAACTGAACCACTCACAAGGCCCAAACATGTCCTAAAACCGGAGCCTTTCCGGAAGCTGAAGAGTCGGGGCCCCTTAAGGCGTGTTTTGTGTTTATGTGTCTCTGCAACAAGGAAGTGCTCTGAGCTTTCTGCCCCGTCGCGCGTCCGGGATCAGCCATCCTGCGGGGCTCCCAGAGTCTGCTTCTGCAAGGGAGGGAAGCATGGGCCTGGGCCTGGGGGCCCCTGGGGGTTACGGTGATAAAGGTCGTGTGGCATCCATTGTTGGGGGTTTGTCTGGTGGCCTGCGCACTCATTGGAAAATGGCCCCTACTCCTCATTTTTGCCAAGCGTTGCTGTTGCCCTGCTCTTTGCCGGTGCGCCGGCAGCTCGTGCATATGCAGACACAGAGACACATCACATGTACGCATACAAGGCCCTTTCGCTGCCCCCTTAACACCTCTGTTTACAGTCCAAAAAGGCCGCTCCACTTCCCCCCCCCCCCGCCCCCAACTGATCAAAGAATTTAGTTCAATTTCCGAAAGCAGTTCAACACTGAGAGTTTTAGATTCCAGTTTTGAAGCAGCCTCGGAAGTCTTGAAGTATTGAAACTCGAGCCCGAAATCGAAGACTGAAGGTTGAAGATCATCAGACAAGCTTGTCCGAGTGTCTTGAATCTTCCTCAAAAGGAAGGTTCAAGACACTCGGACAAGCTTTTCCTTTTGAGTCAGCACTGTCAAATTCATGCCCAAGCCCGGTTATTGAATTTCAAACGAGCCTTACGCCCACCCCTTCAGCTCCCACCCCCCAGATGGCGCACCCTCGCCGCTGCCCCATAAACCATAATGGTAACTTTCGCCTTAGACTTCCATACGTGTGCAAAAATGACGATTACAAAGATGATGCATATAATCGTTTTTGAAGCAGATGCAGATGCACATGCCTGCAAAAGCATATTTTATATGTGTGCATACACGCTCTGCGCACATGTAGACGTCCTTAGGGATCACGATGCTTAGGGTGTGCATGTGGAGCTGCCCGTTCTCGATGCAACCGCTTCAGTCCCCCCGAGGCATGTGCTACGATGCAGAGTACAAAGTGCAGCTTGCCATGTGCGTGAGCACATGCCCAGGCTGCGGCGGAATGTTGGGAGATGCTTCTTTAGAGTTTTTTTGCGCGGAGGGCTGAAGCAACGCTTCTCACTAGTGTACACAATGTCTGCCCCAGCTGAACCTTGGCCCTCCCAAGTGCCAGACATTCCCCTGCTGCCTGTGTGTGGGAGGCGACACTACAGAACCGGCTGCAGATGGGCAAGGCGAAGAGAACTTGCCTGGTGGAGCATGGTTGGAAGTGGAGCATGGTTGGAAGGGTAGGTTTGGCTGTTTTCGCAACCCCAATTCCAGCCGACACTTTGTGAGCAATGACATGCAGGGACATGCAGTGAACTAGCCAACATAAGCCAAGTAACAAATGCAAGAGCTGACGGAGCTTCATCCCACTCCAGCTGCCCAGGGACCTGTGGCAGTGCATCCTGCAGTGAAGGCCAGGCCTGCTGGCGGGTACAGACACTTGTGCTTTGAAGGGGTCAGTTCGGTTTCTTGGAGTGGGACGCCCTGGTGGCCACATTTTTCGATATGTTTAAAGGTTTTGGCTGTAGTTCAAGCCCGAAAACGAGCCAGAGATAATTCGATCTGCTTGCTGAGGTCGCAACCTTTGCCGGAAAACAGAAGTATTTGTTACACAATCAGAGTTGGGTCCCTTGGTCCATGCAACAGCAACATCCACAGACTGAGACTTGCATTACCTTAGACAGGCCTAGCAAAAAGAAAACTACTATGATTTACAATGAAAATCGTCGGGCAGGCGGGGCTTTATGATTCATTTAGCTTTATCCCTGAGAAATTGCATATTTCGACCCGCCTCGTCCAAATCCGGAGACCGCAGGTCTGAAGCCTGTTGTAACAGGCAGGCTCATGTATAAACCAGGCACCTCAGAGGTGAAACAAGAGGTAAAACGAGAGACGGGGCGGGCAGCTGGGGGTGTGCGGGGTGGGTGGAGGTGGGTGTGCAGTGAGAAGGTGGAGGGCAGTGTGGCTCACAGGATTGGACCGGTCCCTGATACCTAAATTGGAACCCTAACAAGCCTGATCCGATCGCAAGATGCAAAACTGGGCACGTGGTGGGAACCTCTGTATGTGTATCGTCCCTTGCCAGGCCTGTCCAAAATATAGAGACACAAAAAGCTGGGATGCACATGTACATGAGAGACAACCCCCTTGATGTTTTGCTAAGGTGAAAGACCAATTGTTCCATCTCGCAATTATAAGCTCATGATGTAGGCATACACCCGCTTCAGGTCATGAGCTCAGCAAATACATGGGATTGCCTCGGGTTTGCTTGGAGTTTGAGCTACGGATAAGAAGCTAATGACAGCCTTGAAACTCGCAAAGCAGCACTTTCTATTGAAAAAACAGGCCCATAGCTATGTGACGCACTCTCTCGCTTTCTGTTTTTGGTCAAGGACATCCTTTGTTCCCAATATCCATATACCTGGAATTGTTGGGAAGGCGGCTTGTTTTTGCTGGGATGGGAGAACATGATTCTTGACTTCAGAAGCAGGGGTAGGTGTTCTTCTTTTTTTTTGAAGGGGGGGGGGTTGGCGGGTTGGTCGGGGCACTGCCCTCCACCAGCCCTGCCCTTCCGATTTTTTTGTTTATTCCCCCTCCCCCCCTTTCAAACCCCGTGAAAGGGAATAAACGAAATAGAGAGGGAGGTTCATACCAAGATACAGGTGCACATATTATATATATATATGTGTGTGTACATGTTCGTTATATGGTGATAACGAGAAGGTTCTTTGTATGCCGACGCCAAAGTTTTCAGGAACTGGGAGCTGAAATCGAAAGGAGAAACTTCGAATAATCAAAGCCTTTGGCCCATCGCATCGCTTGCGTGAGGACGAAGTGAATAGACAGCTTTGGCGCATAATGCGTTGAGCTTGCTGTCACGGTTGTTTCATGTTGTTTCCTAGAGCTGCCCATCATTAGAAACGGGTGTTAATCGTGTTGGAGCGAGGCACAGAAGGGGCGCGGCGCTTCATCCTCTACGATACGAAGTATGGCGAGGGCTTCAACCTTCAGCGCGAGGTCCGAGAGTCCAGCCTTTCAGTTGGTTCAAGAAGCTTAGAGGATGTGATAGGATGTGTTCATTGGGCTATGTCGGGCTTCGGAACTCTTGGGCTCTCGGCGTTTGGCTTGCATGTAAGGGAAGATGCGGACACATTTCCTTAGTAACAGTTTGACTCGCCTTCCTCACGCAGGTCTATCCGCGAGCTGGCTGGGTGGTGGCCCAGGCCAACAAGGCACCACGCTGCAAGACCTTAAAGTCCTAACCGAAACCCTGAAATACCGACGATGTGCGAACCTGCGGAGGCCTTAGCAGCCAAATGCGGTTCCAAGGGTGATGGCGGCTGCGCTTGACCTCAGCTGCAGTGCCGGCAGCATCTGCACCAAGTCCCGGGCATGTGCCTTGGAAGGTGCTCGCTGGGTTCTCGTGTTACCGCCATGGTGCCAGGTGGGGTTTCCACCTCCCCCCCCCTCCTTCTTCCAAGAAAATCATAGAACAGCCATGAGCCCTCATTTCTGTTCCAAGACGCGTTCTCGGACGGCCCGTGCACTTGAGATGTCTCACGTCATCTTCTGACATCCCTGCTTGGCCAGGTTGTCCACTGGTGGACGGGTCCCGAGCATGTCCCTTACTAAGCTTTTGGGCTGGTCCCACCCACGGTATGACCCAGAGCGGTCACAATCTGCAGCATCCCAATCCCTCAACATAGGACCTCACAGAGAAATCCAAGCCGGTGGGGTGGCGGATGGGGGGTGGTGTCTAAGCTGTTCCGAATTTCGATGCAGGCTGTCGTCCTCGGCCAAACAAGTAGTAAGTAGTAACAGTCACTGTGTAACCTAGGAGCCCAGGTTTACTGGCGAACCTTCTTCGACACGGATGCGCTCATGGGTTCCAAGGCCGTAGCAGTGCTCGGAATCGCTGGTGCCCTGCGCTGTCATGCTCATGTAGGTTCCTGTGATTGAGTTCGATGAGTATGTCGCGACCCTGGAAAACGACATGCCACTGTGGGTCACAGGGCTCCACTGTTCATGTAGCATTTTCCTCGCCCGGCCCTTTGCACAAGGTCCGATTGGTAGGTGGGCAGACAGTGGACGTGGCCGTGTCTTTTGAGACAGATCAGCTCAAGAAGCAGAAGGAGTGCGGAGATGCAACTAGTGATGCAGCAATTTGTATGTAACATCGTTGCAGTGTTATCCCTCTAGGCTGGAGTGGGTGGAGCTCAGGAGCAGCTGACCGGCGGCAGCGGCAAGTTCATGGGTTTCGCAGGTAGCATCAGCGACTGCAAGACCAAGTATGTGTTCTGAGCTCGGCTTTCCAAATGTCAGTCAAGGCGAGATGCACTGAGTCTTTCGATCTTTTTCTCATGTCAGGAAGCCACTCGAGTTCCGCAAGCTACCGGCTGGTGACTTCCAGATCGTGTGACCTGCGCAAGACGCGGTGTTGAATGATTGCAGACACAGTCTGCCCTGGCGAGCCCCAGCTGTGACAGGTTTTGCAGGCAGCTACATGTACCATCAATGCTCGAAGGAAAAGTGATAGTCCAACTTTCTGGATAGTGTCAATCAAATCCCTGCTAAACCCGATGTGCTTCTATACAGGTATACGTATGTACATATGTCGTGTTGCTCCAGAGTGGTTTGCACGCCACCGAGAAGATAGCCATTAAATTTGCGATCGATGGACAGAACACTGCTAACCCTACAAAGTCAGCATCTAAGCATGTCGTTCAACTGATCTTGCCGTCGCTTCGTGGTTCCTTCTGCAAAGCTGCCCAGCAAGTATTATCTATTATATATTATGTATTGTGTATTATGCATTATATATTCTGTATTCTATATTAATCATTCTATATTCTATATTCTATATTCTATATTCTGTATTCTATATTCTATATTAATCATTCTATATTCTATATTCTATATTCTTTATTCTTTATTATATGTTATATGTTATATATGATATCGTATATCTTATATACTATATCTTATATATTGTATATGATATATATATATATGGTCACCCCCCCCCCCCCCCCCCCCCCAATGGACCCACCGCGGGCCTTGATCTTTGCAAAAGTACCGCAAATACCGATAAAACCTATGCTGTCTGGTGATTTTCCGGTGACCGGATTTTTGACTGTATTCCTTAATTCACCCTCTCACACACGCACGGAGGGTTTTTCTTTCTGTTGGCTTTTGTTTATAATTTAAGATCTAGGCATTTAAACCTAAGCCTGCAAAAAAAAAACCTTAACCTTTAAACCCTGTAGGGTTAAGGTTTAAAGGTTAAGGGTTTAAGATTTAGGCATTTGAACCTATGCCGGTAATTAAAGCTAAGCCCTTAACCTTTAAATTCTATCGGGTTGAGATTTTTACAGGTTTAGGGTTTAAGATGTAGGCATTTAAACCTAAGCCTGCAACTAATTTTAAACCCTTAACCTTTAAACCCTGTAGGGTTAAAGTTTAGAGGCTTAGGGTTTAATATTTAGCCATTTAAACCTGTAGCCAAGCCCTTAACCTTTAAACCCTATAGGGTTAAGATTTTTAAAGGTTTAGGATATAAGATGTAGGCATTTAAACCTAATTAAGCCTGCAACTAATTTTAAACCCTTAACCTTTAAACCCTGTTGGGCTAAGGTTTAAAGGTTTCGGGCTTAAGATTTAGGCATTTAAACCTATTCCGGCAATTTACGCTAAGCCTCTAACCTTTAAACCCTATAGGGTTAAGATATTTAAAGGTTTAGGGTTTAAGTTTAAGGTTTAGGTATTTAGACCTATGCCGGCAGTTCATATTGAACCCTTAACCTTAAACCCCATAGGGATGAGATTTAAAGGTTTAGGATTCTTTACTTAGACATTTAAATCCAAGCTGACGATTCAACCTAAACCCTTAACCTTTAAACCCTATAGGGTGAAGGTTTAAAGTTTTAGGGTTTAAGATTCAGACATTTAAACCTAAGACAGCGATTAACACTAAGCCCTTAACCTTTAAACCCTATAGGGTTAAGGTTTAAAGGTTTGGGGTTTAAGATTCAGGCATTTAAAGCTAAGTATGTAATCAATTTGTCACCCTTAACACCTCTAAACTCTGTAGTGTGAAGGTTTAAAGGCTTAGGGTTTAAAAAAACCTAAGCCCCCTAAGCCCATAGAGTTTAAACCTTAAGGGTTTAAGGTTTACGCATCTATTCCTTAACCCTAAACCCTCTAGGGTCAGGACCCTAAAGCCCTCGGCAATCAAGCCTAAACCCTTGACCTTCAAACCCCATAGGATGAAGGTTTAAAGGTTTGGGGTTTAAGACTTAGGCATTTAAACCTAGAGGGCATTTAAGCCTTAATCCTAAACCCTTTAGGGTCAGAACCTTAGCACCCTATAGGGGTCTAGCACGTTCAAAGGCTTGAACCCTACAGGCGCTGAAGGTATACATGTCCTATCGGTTTTTAAACCATTACACCCTGTAAGAAGGTTTAGGGTCTTTTCGGGGTCTATCTCTAAATTTCTCACGGGGTTAACCCTGCAGGGTTTAAAGTTAAAGGTTTAGGGTTAAAGGTTAAGGCAATACCTATAGGATTAGAACCTTATAACCCTGTAGTGCATGAGGCTTAAACCCCTAAAACTTAACCATCTTTTTCTCGAGAAAACCAAAAAAACCAAAAAAACCAAAAAAACCAAAAAAACCATCTTTTCCAAAACTATGGGGCTGGGGCCTCCAAAAGATGGTTTTTTTGGTTTTCTCGAGAAAAAGATGGTTTTTTTGGTTCGAAACCATCTTTTTCTCGAGAAAAAGATGGTTTTTGAGCAGCCGCTCTTCGAAAAACCATCTTTTTCTCGAGAAAAAGATGGTTTTTAGAGATCTTACCCTGGAAAAACCATCTTTTTCTCGAGAAAAAGATGGTTTCCGGAGGTCTTGTCCTGGTAAAACCATCTTTTTCTCGAGAAAAAGATGGTTTTTGGAGGTCTTCTCCTGGTAAAACCATCTTTTTCTCGAGAAAAAGATGGTTTTTTCGAAGGATGGTTGCTCAAAACAATCTTTTTCTCGAGAAAAAGATGGTTTCGAACCAAAAAACCATCTTTTTCTCGAGAAAACCAAAAAAACCAAAAAAAAAACCATCTTTTCCAAAACTATGGGGCTGGGGCCTTCAAGAGATGGTTTTTTTTTGGTTTTCTCGAGAAAAGATGGTTTTTTGGTTCGAAACCATCTTTTTCTCGAGAAAAAGAAGGGTTTGAGCAGCCGCTCTTCTAAAAACCATCTTTTTCTCGAGAAAAAGATGGTTTTTGGAGATCTTGTCCTGGAAAAACCATCTTTTTCTCGAGAAAAAGATGGTTTTTGGAGGTCTTGTCCTGGTAAAACCATCTTTTTCTCGAGAAAAAGATGGTTTTTGGAGGTCTTGTCCTGGTAAAACCATCTTTTTCTCGAGAAAAAGATGGTTTTTAGAAGAGCGGCTGCTCAAAAACCATCTTTTTCTCGAGAAAAAGATGGTTTCGAACCAAAAAAACCATCTTTTTCTCGAGAAAACCAAAAAAACCATCTTTTGGAGGCCCCAGCCCCATAGTTTTGGAAAAGATGGTTTTTTTGTTTTTTTTGTTTTTTTTGGTTTTTTGGGTTTTTTTGGTTTGTTGGTTTTTGTTAGTTTCTTGTTTTGTTGTTTTTTGCCTTGATCTGGCTAGGACTCGGCTGCCATCCGCGGTGGGTCCATTGGGGGGGGGGGGTGAGCATATATATATATATATATATATTAGTATATATATATATATATATGTATATGAGAAAGTGTTCCAGAAAAGTTCCAGAGGTATGCGGGACACTGTGACGGCGCAATCGCTGCGAAGGTCGCAGGGGAAGATTTGCCAAGTCAGTGTGCTGAGGGTTGTCGATCCGACTCTGTAGGCGTTTGCTGTCACAGCTGCTGGCGACAATGCGTAGGCGTTTTCTGCTCAAGCTCGAGCACCCGAAGCCTCAGTTTAAACTCTGCTCGCCTCGGTACCATGGAGCGCAAGGCCTTCTGCAAGCCAAGCAATGACTTCGATGTCATGGACCCCTTGTCAGACTCGGAAGGGGACAATGAGATCTTGGCTCCCCGGTGCCAGAAGGTCCTGGCTGCGGCTGCACGGCGGCGCCAGGGGATGGGCTCCTTCACCAACTCCTTTTCCATCAGAGAAAAGCCCCAGCCTGCGCCAGCCAAGCCGCCACGAAACCCCGACCGCCAGCTTTGGGCCGACATCACTACAGATGACGAGGACAACTTTCCGACTTGGCGCCCGACCCCAAAGCTCACAGCCAAGGCAGTGGACACCAAGGTAGAGAGCTCGGGGAACGCACGTGGCTATGACAAGTGGTCTTGGAGCACCGCTGCCACGAATGTGGATCTGGAGGAGGAGCTTCCTGAGGACGTATCCCCGGCGGCCGCATCTCAGACCACCTCCGGTGAGCGTGCCAGCTTCTCTTCAACCTGCAGTGACGTTGCTGAGGACCTTCAGCCTTTGCCGCCAAACCCAGAACCGCAAGTCGCGTCCAAGGGCATGGGCGTGCCATTGCAGGCAATCAACATGCAGCCTCAGGTTCAGCCTCACATGCAGCCTCAGGTTCAGCCTCACATGCAGCCTCAGGTTCAGCTTCAGGTTCAGCCTCAGGTTCAGCCTCAGGTTCAGCCTCAGGTTCAGCAGGGCATGATGGTGGCAGTGCCTGCCATGCCCTATGTGCCTTTCGGCATGGGGATGCTGCCATTTGCCATGGCCGCCGTGCCGCACTTCCCAGGGCAGGCATTGACGACCAATGCTCCACCCATGCTGAGGACCGTGCCTCGAGAGGAAAAGGACCCTAAGGAGGACGGTTTCGAGAACCTCCGTCGGCCGGTCCAGCTGTCTGGCGCTCTGATGGCCGGGCCTCCCTTCGGCAAGTCCCATCGCTTCCACCAGAAGAACAACAGCATGGGAGTTCTGGATAACGATGCTCGCACCTTTACGAAGACGCAGAACAAGGGCCGGCTCAGCATCGTTTGCGAGAACAAGGTCCACTTTCAAGGCACTGTGCGCTACGCCGTCCAGTTCACAGATGGGGAGCTCTGCAGCGCAGATGGTGTCGGCTTCATCCTCTCCTCTGACCTTCCCTGCACCAAGAACATCCAGAAGATCGTCTCAGTCTTTGCCAACCGGACAGGCCGGATTTGCATCCGTGTCCACGATGAGGTAGAACGATGCCCACAGAGGGTGAAGTGCTTGGAGATTGGTGACTGGCTGGAGGTCAATGCTGACCTCACACAGCAGACCGTGAGCTTCACCGTCTGGCCACAGGACAACTCGGAGCCCTCGTATGCCACAGTCTCCTTCAAGGACATCCTGAACAAGGCCCGCGCGCGCGGCGTGAACGGCCTCCCGCGCAATCCCTGTGGTTATTTGTCTGCCGTCATCAAGCACGTGGGCGTGTCAGTGACTTTCGGATCTTAAAAATTCAGGGCTTCGCCTGTAGCCGATTTTTAGCAGTCCGGGGCTCAAACGGCACAGAAAGTGTGAGATTTGGCCTTGAGTCTGCACACATTGCCTATTGGCTCTCCCCCCTCATCTTAAGATATGTTAGGGAGATGCTTGTTGGCCATTATTCTCCCCTTGCACAGTCTAACGCGGCCTAGTCCAAGCGGTTTGGCTTGAAGCAATGAACGACCCCATAATCAGCTACAGTCCCAAGCATGTCGGCCCACTTATCAAAACAAAGTTAAGACTTGTAATTCTGCAACACAGTACAAGGACCGCGCGCACTAGATATCTTATCAGGCGAATACACGCCACAAGTCTTTGATTTTCGATCGCTCTTCACGTTGTTGCGAACTTGAGCACTGTGTCTGCCCGACACCATGTCAGGGTGATGTGCACTACAAACTTCGCAGCAGCATGCGTGAGCAGGTACACAGTACCAACTGTCCATAGAGACAAGACCCACACATGTGAACGTGAAAAGAGTGGGCGTGGAGGTTCCAGGCACTTGTACTGCTTGGGAGCTGGATTCATCATGTCCTGGTACTTTTGCCTGGAATCGTTTTGTTGCGCGTCAAGCCAGCAGCTAGCTTCTATTTATTCGTGAGCTGCATCTACGCCATATGCCTTTCTCTACGAAGTCACTCGGGCAGCATAAGCAGATCTAGATTCTAGATAACCTTACCTGACTCTAAACAGATTCTACCGATGTCTGATGGATGGTCTTCGAATTGCTTGAATTGTGCAGGAGCTGAGCTGCGCCTCCTTGGATGGACCGTGGCCGCAGGGTGCGGTGCTCTCAGAGAGCTGATGTGAAACAATTCGTGAGAAAGGACTCATGGAAAAAGGAGCGATCAAACTGCTCCTATTGAACTGGCTTGACAACAGGCCAATGGGGTGTTAAGGATAAGGAAACCTGTATATAGATTTGTTGTTTTCAACCGGCTTGCAGGATTCTGGGTTGAATCGAAGGATATCTACACAAGTTGCAGCAGGAGCTGCTGGGGCTTCTGCTTCTTCTGCTGCTGCAGCTGCGGCTGCGGCTTCCAGCTGTTCTTCTCATGGCTTTCATCCTTGGTGTAGGCGTGGTGTCTCGGTGTCTTCATTCGTTCTATACAAATGTGTGTACACTCTGAGAGAAGCACAGGCTTCAGGCATTGTGCAGCATGCTTATGTGTGCTTCTGGTTGAGTCTAGATGGGCCTGTTATGTTCCTTTGCAAAACGGCTCCTCCTCAACCTTCTGGCAGCCAAGGTGGTCGACCTTGTTCTGGCCTTGAAGCCCGAGGCCGGGGCCAGTTTTGGGGCGGAGTTGTTCTTGAACTGAGCCTATTTCTGCTATTTTTTTCCCAAAGGCCCTTGTTAATTTCCGCCATGGGAAAGTTGCCTTCTTGGGTCTTGCCCCCAGAAGCTGGGAGGGAACCCCCAAACCCGGCCAGCTTCTTGGGCCTTTCAAGTAGCGCAAAAACTAAATAGAGCGTCTCATGGGATTCACTGCCAGCATCTATCTACCCCAGGTTAATGTAAAGCGGCCCGCCGAAAACATCAGCGTTCATGAGCTGGTTCTTTCGGATCTTGTGATTGTATTGTCCTCGTTGATGTGCGAACTTCGCAGATGGGCAGCACGTATTGAAGCCATGTGCATGAGATGCCGACGCAAAAACGACAGCAAGTACTATCCTGGCACTTTGCACAAGAAGTCTTTGTCCTAGCGCTTTTGTACACATGATAGTGCAGTCCGTGACGTCATTTTGGAATCGATGCCAGAATTCAGCGCATGAGGCAAACTGAGAGACCTGGTTTGTGTTTAGATTCCCCTTGAGTTGTCCAACACAAGTCGTTGAAGTCTGCAGGGGGGTGGTCACTTCAAGGCTAGGGTTCGGGTGGGTTTTTCGGCTTAGAAGCCGCGATGTTCCTAATTGGGGTTTGTTTCTAGGAAATCATGTAGTATTCCTCTGGTACGCTTTTTGCTTGCCTTTTCATCGCTGCATGCTTCGTGCCCGTCTGATATTTACCCTTCATATGGTTATCAATGTCGTTAACACTCTTCTCTGAAACTCGTCTTGTCTTCCTCTCTTGCGCCCTGATGCTCTCCTTGTGCTTCTTAGTCTGAACCCCCTCGCTTGTTCGCATTGTACCGTATTGTTTTCATCCTCTATTCACCCTTCTCATATTCTTCTTTGCATTCCTCTTCTGCTGTCCTGATGTCGTTGAATTCCTGTGTGTCTTAGGTCCTTGGAGAGGTGTCTGGAGACCCTGAAGGCTCCTTGAAAAAGCCGAACAGAAGGGGGGGTTTCTGAATTCCTACCGGTGAAAGAAGCACACAGGGCTCCCCGAAGTGCTCGGATTCTTTGAGGTCAGGTCAGTGCTTCTGAAGAACTACGACTACCTGCTGTCTCCTGACAGCGAGGAGTTGGATGAGCTGGGTCCGGACCTCATCCTTGGCGGAGAGGGAGGAAGAGGGGGAGAGACTGTACATGACTGTATAACTCGCCTGGCCCGGGCAATGGTTTGGGTCGTTGTTTGGGGATTGTGGTTTGTTGGATTCCGGGGTTTCGGAGGGGGGGTGGGGGAGGATTGATGTGGGGGGTCTTTGAGGGAAACCCGGAAGGTTTCGGGTATTTCAAGTTCGAGGAGGGTCGCGGGGTCCGGCGTTTTTTTTCTCCTACGTGTGGCAGGGGTCTCCTTTTCCTAGGTGTGGCGGGGGCCTCTTGTCATAGGTGTGGCGCGCCTTTATTTTCCCTTGGGTGTGGTGGGCTCCCTTGGTCCCTTGTTCCCCTGGTTCTGCGGTCTTTTCTTTCGTAGATGTGGCGGGATCCCTTTTTCCTCCCAGGTGTGTTGTTTTTTCCAAGGTGTGTCGGGCCCTTTTTTTCTCCTAGACATGTTTGTTTTTTCCTAGGTGGCGGGCCTGCCACGCCAAACCTTGATGCTTGGCGTCACTGCCATATCCAGGTTCCGAACCCTCACCTTAACTCGGCTCGGTCAACAAAGGTGGCCCTTCCAGCAACCGGACTAGCTTTCGTTCCCCCCGTCCCCCAAACGTTTGAGAGAAAACCAAAGATGTGACCAGGTCTAAGAGAGTCGATGCTTTTCGCAGAGGACCCGAGGGGGGGGGACAGGATGGAGCCGGCGACCTCCTGTTACCGTCGTGCGGATGCTGCTGGAAGTTCGGATGGTGCTGTGGAAATCATTTTCTGAGTCTGAAGGCAAGATTTGCAGCTTTATTTTTGACATCCTCTTTGTGTTCCTCTTCGGTTTCTTGGTGACTTGCAGGACTTAAGGGCACACGCTGATGAGCTGCTGCCTTGGCCATTATAATTGACCAACAAGCCCCCTATCAAACCCACAATCACACTGGAGGTTCATTCAGAATGCCTTCGGGGGCGAGAAGTACTTGGCGGCGCACTGCCGGCGAACGGACCGCGCGCTTCGGAGCCTTTCAAAAGTGTTTAGGCCCATGAGTTGCCACGAGTTGCAGGACTTCCTGAGGGCCCGGGAGAAGACCACCCCAGACGTGTCCAACATAGCTCTGATGCTCGACTGGTTTTAAGTCAATTTGGTCAACTGGTGAGTTCTTGATGCTTTCGAGACCTGATTCGCATCATGCCTAATATCTGACCACGCTCAGGAAGCTGAACGAGGTGCTGGAGCAGCTAGCAGCTGAGCTGTTTCGTTCGTGCCAGGGCCATGGGCAATTGAAATAGGCCCCCCCCATTTGTTTTGAAGCTTTATTTGTTGAACCGTATTTGACCTTTGTTGAGGGGAGGAGGTTGGGGGATGATTTGCCCCGGCAAAAGAAAGGCTTGAAGCAAAATGCAGAAAGACAGAACAAGAGAATGAGACAAGGACAGCCAGACAGAAATACTCAAGAAACAAAACACAGAATAGCAGCAAGCAAAAACGAAAGAAAACAAACAAGTAAAAGCGATATGCAGAAAGAAGGACGAGCGAAAGTCAGGACAGAACGAGAGAAAAAGTAGCATTGCGTACACATGGGGCAGCCCCCCTCCCTTTTTTGAAGCCGTGCTCGCAGGATTTTGTTGCTCAATTAACTCCCGCAAAACACGGCCCGATAGCACGATCGAAGGTGTCAAAAAAGGCCGTACACTTATTCCCCCGGCTTGGCCTTTTTGGCCTCACAATGGAGGAGAGGCGGGGTGGTCAAGGATTTTGCGTTGTTGCGCCCCGCGACTTACGAATGAGGGGCCCAGCACTGGCACCAGCGCCTCTTAACACCAGAACGGACAACAATTGAACTCGGCATACCCAGATTGTCGCCTGGCCAGAGTCACCTCAGAAGGCACCGAGCAGCCTGCGTTTTGCATCGGGCTGCTTGGCAGCTGGCTTGCGCCTGTTCCGCACAACCCTCGGTGTCTGTTTGGCATCTAGGTTTCTCCCCAACGCGGTGATTCGGCTTAGATTTTTCCATCTTCTTGTCTTGTTCTTCCCCCAGCGTCTGTTCACGGCCTTTTTGTTTTGTTTCTAGCTTCCTCGTGGTTTTTCGTTTATCACAGCAGGAGCATCTTGATAGCTGGATTAGCGATTGCAACCGGGACATGGTGCATCTTAGCAACGTGCCTCAACTTCGAAACGGACCGTCCTGAATATGCGGGAGCAAAGTCGTACCGTGCTGAGTAGTGTTTGTTCGTTCTTGTATTCTTGATTCTTGGCTTTGTGCAGGCATTTCTGGCCGGAAGCCGTATGGTCTGAGAACGCGGATGATTGAGTGCATAGGTTGGAAGCGGGTGGAGGCCAGCTGCCTCGCTTTGAGGACCCCAGGGCTATTGACAGTGCCTTGGCAAAAAATGGCCTGTTTTAGGACTGAGAACATAGCGTGACCTATGCCAGCTGCAGAATATATAAGTCAGCGCGGGACATCGACAAGGACGGCGTCTTCGCGAAAGACCAAGAGCTCAAGGACTTCTTGACCTCGCCCCAAGCAATATGTGCAGCTTTGCAGCTGCAGCATGCTTTCGAAACACAGCGCAACCAACAGGAGTCGGGCTTGGAGCAGGGGTTGTGCGACTTCTGTTGCGGGCGGGGCAGCGTGAAAATGCGTGCGTGTGCGTCACAGAGTTTATTGCAGATGATCGAGAACTACGTTCAGTGGGGCGGCGATCATGGTTTGGCCGAAAAACGATGCGAGAGACGCGCGGCGTGCAGCCGCGGATTTACAAGAGGAATTGCACGCCGAGCGCAAATGTTGATTGTGCTGAAGGACTCCGAAGACTATGATGTGCAGAAGCAATGGGTTACAGCGCGCACGCCTGGTCAACCGTCTGTGCGGTCTTCGGTCGAATGCTTAAATCTCTGTTCCGTCTTGACTGGAAGAACCTGGAGTCGCAGACCATATTTCCAGAGCTGATTCACTTGGAAGACTTTGCAGAATATGTCCGAGGCTGTGACGCCCGGTGGGAGAACCCGCGCTCGATGGGCATCTTAACCGCGCGGCCAATTCCGGCCAAGATTCCATCTCTTCGACTCTTCGTGTCCGGCCATCAAAGAAATGTGCGAGGACTCAGCCGAAGTGCTGAGCTGCAGGCGAAAGGATGCAACTTATTGAGCCAGGAAGAATTGTTCGATGTGATCCTTGCAGACCTGGCTGAATCCGACGATGTCGGACAGAGCCAAAGTAGCCAGCGTGCGCAAGCGTGACGAGTTTGGACAGGACTCACGTGTTGTTGAAATTATTTTCCTTTGATGGCATGATGTTCTTCAAAGGAAGCTTGTACGGCCTTTTTCAAAAGCAAGCGACCAGTCTGTGGTGTGGGTGGGGGGGGGGGTGGGGCGGGTCCTGGGGCTGCAGCCGCACCTTCATGTGGAAGCGTAATGCTCGAGGACGGGTTAGGAGGATTCATATGCTTTTTGAGCAACTCCTCTTGACTGCGTCCAGAGCAGCTGTTGATGGAGGAAATCTTGCACCGCTTTAAATGGCCAAGCAAAGTAGAGACCCCACGCCCCCTTTTTTAATGTTGATCCCGGAAGTGCCGTGGGTTCCAATGACAAAAATCTTGCGCCACCTCGGTGTCCATCATCGTCAATGTTAAAAAGGGGGCGCGGGGTCATCCTCATGTGTCGTGTCACCTGTTCTTCATTAAGCGGCGCAAGATTTCCTCCATCAACCGAAGCTCGAACTGTTTGAAAAGTGGGGCCGGGGAGCGCAGACCCCGATTTGCAATCGCGATGCTCGTCTAGCGAAAAGAGTTCAAATTTTCTCCGAAGCAACTCCGCGTGTCGTCAAAGCGCCCCCACGCCTGCTTTGAACTCAAACACAATGCTTTAGCACCGTATTTGACAGGATTCACATGTTTTTGTTGAAGCAATTACTCTTGATAGCATGGCTGGCGTTCTTTATAGCAAGATCGCGTGGCTAGAAATAAAGTGGAGGGGGGGGGGGAGTGTGGCACGGTAGAACATGCATAATGTGGTTCGCGCACGCGCGGAAACTTGTTCCGGCGACTTTAGTAGGCTTGCGTTGTCTGAGAAGCGTCCAAGAAAACTTAAACCAGCATCTTGTCAACGGAAAACTTGCCAATCAGGCCACATTGCAAGCGCTGCGGCAAGATCCCCCTGTGAGCTCTTGAAGGTTTTTTTCGAAGTACCGGTATCATGCGGGCATAGACGAGTGAACAGCGCCAGACCCTCCAAGACCACTCGGGGGGCACGTCAGATGATCCCACGGACTCCCGACTGTACACGACACGCTAAAACCAGCCCCAGACCATCCAAGACCAGTCAAGACAACTCCAACACCCCTAATCCCAAACCCAAACCCGTATGCGCCAACATTCGCGCAACCCCCGCCCCTCCCTCCAGGTTGTAGGCAAGTTGTAGGGGTTGCACTTTGGTAGGTTCGCGGTGGGTTGAGGGGATCACGCGAAGCGCAGACACATATGAACCCGGAAGTCCAAATCCGACAGCCAACCCGGAACCCCAGACCCCAAAGCCTACCTTAGATTCGTGTTGTGAGACCGTAGGTTAAACCCTTTTTCTACTGTGGGACTTGCACACATAAACAAAAAAGGGAAGTTTTCCTCATAAGCGATGAAATACAAAGTACATGAACTAGTTGCGGAAGTAGAGGATTTCTCCTGTCAGCATATGGAGGACATGGAGGTAGGGTACCTTTGTAGAGGAACTGCACAAAAAAGATGGAGGAGTAAAAGTTATCTTTTACGAAGAGAAAACATAAACGATTTCCAAATCAAACATAGAGGCCTCTGATGCAAGAAAAATAGTACGGGTTTCGAATGAAAATAGAGGAAAGGAGGTTTCCTGCTGAAGATGGAGGGAGCAGAGGTTTTCAGGTTTTCTAAGAACACATAGAGCTCCCCTTCCCCCGCCCCCACCCCCCACCCACAATTTTCATGAAGATGTTGTCTCACTGCCTCATAAAAAAGGCGTGTGAAACTCGCCAGCTTCAGGGGTGGTACGTAGCTGCAAGAAGTTAAATCAGCGTTTTGGCCTTGGAGTGTTTCTGGGATTTCAAGGGACCTGGGCTTCAGAGATTGTTACCAGGAGCGCAACTAAGTTGATCTAGCCCAACCGGCCAGACCAACTGGGCCACAGCATTCTTCCACAGATGTGACCGTGTGGCAATGATGTGATCAACGGTGTCCAGCCTGACCCTGCCGCACTGAGGGAAGGGTTGAAGCAGGCGGGCTCTCGGTTCTTGCGTGTTCTTGCCGCAACAGATCAAGCCCCTGCCATCAAATCCTGAACCCTGCATCACCCTGGCAGGTCTTCATCGCTACGGATGCTCCTGGTGACCTCCGAGCCGCTCTGCAGGAGGAGGTGCCTGGAGATCGGCCTGGTTTGCCCACACAAGCGAAAACAAGTTGGTTTTACGGCTAAACGCAAAATCACCTCAAACTGAAAAGCTCCGACATTGAAACTGCTTCCTACTCGTGTATGAGCTGAAGTCAGCAGACTGGACCTCCCTGGCCAGTTTTGGAGAAAGTCGTGTATTTCGGTCATGTGCCTAGACTCAAAGCTCAACCCATCTGCAAGCCATGTAAGCACAGAATTCGGTTGTTCGGCTGCACACTTCGAGACCGGGACTGCAGATTGTCGTTGGAGGTGAAGGGGGCCATTGTGTTCTACGCCCGGGTCCAGGTGAGACAGAGTTCGGTCTTGCCAAGCAACGCCTATGCGTACACAGCCTCGGCATCGCAAACAAGAGCCAGCAAGAGGGCGAGAAAGTAACAAGAGTGACAGAGAAAGTGACAGGAAGAGTGCTTCGAGAATGGCTTTCAGAGTGGTTGCGGGATGGGTTTGGAGCAGATGGGCCCTTGGTGCCTGGCCTCAGCCTCCGCATAGCTCGAGGGCTTGGGCCATTGGGGGACCAAGGACGAGAAGAGTGGCGCCAGGCAGTTCGACCACAAGGGAAAGCAGGCTGGGATGCCGATCGTGCGGACTTTCGGCTGGGATGCCGATTGCGCTGACTTTAGACTAGATTACATCGGGTTGGGTGTCAGAATACTGGACAAGATGCATGGCCGTTCTCGGGGCAATGCTGCCGCGCTCTGGCAGTGGCATGCCGCATGTAGAACACAGCATTCCATGTAAGCTGGCAAGATTAGAGAATCACCCAGATCCCTGCTTTGATCATCTATGGTCCAAAGCATGTTCACGGTAAACTGGCGCCCGTTGCTGTCCTCCCTGGCTCAAATCATTCTGCCATGTTTTCGTCAGATGCCGGCACTCAGACCCTTGGCTTGGCTGGTAGCATGTAATTTAAAGGCACAGCCCTAATCAACAGCGGCTGCTTAAGCTGAACATCCTCGCCTCCAAATATAGACTGCAGCAGTATACCATTGCGGCGCTGACATGCTAAAGGATCCCTTCCAACAAGTCGACGGCCCCCACAACTGCCGCCCCTCGCTAATGTTACAATGGGGTCCGGGGCAAAATTGTTTTGATATCGGGCGTGGGGGGGGGGGGGGGGGGGGTGGTTTGTAACAGCAAAGACTAAAAGATCAAAGCCTATCAACGCCGACTCGCACCTCCCGCAGAGCATTGAGCTCTCAGTTTTGCCATACAATGGCACGTTTTGTGTTTCATGTGTTTCCTTCTTAGGACAACGCACGCTGCAGGCCGTCAAGCGTGGAAAGGTGCATTTCGCAACCAACTCCTTTGTAGGTTTCCCGTGGGAAGATGCACGATGGAGGCTGTAATGTGTGGAGGGCGCAATTTGAAACTGACGCGTTTTGGGAAGTTTCTGTCAAGAAACGCATGACGCAGGCCGTTATGCTTGGAAAGAAGTTCGCAACCCGCGTTTTCGGTTTTTCTTACAGGAAACGCATGATGGAGTCCGGAACACCTGGCAGGCCACAATGTGCGACGGGAAAACGCATGACGTAGGTGGTAATGTGTCCAAACAACAATTTCAAGTCGGCACGTTTTGAGTCTGTCCCGGGAAAGCTAAAGCGCCCGGCTTCGAAAGACGTAGCAAAACACAGCTGCGTTTGGTTTCCTACACGAAAGGTCTGAAACCCTGAGCTCTGAGTTTTGAACACGTAAGCTCCGAGGATGCTAACAGCAGATCGCGATTTGTGACTAAACAGGATTATATGCATGATGCATGCAAATGGAGGTACTCGCAAGTAGTAGAACTTGCTGATGCGAGGATTGGCACAACTGCACACTGTAGTTGAGAGATGTTTGGCTGAGGAGCGTCGAGCCTGAAGCGGCACCTTGTCTCACAAGGATTAGTGGTGCGTCTTCAGCTGTGAAAATGTCTTTTGTTTGTACAACCGCTTCCTGAGTTGCGCGCAGCCAAGGCAGTCTGCATCTTTCTGTGTCACTTGGCCTTGTCGCCTTGTCAGCCCCTCAGACCTGAATCCCAAGAGAGCTCCCATGCCTTGCTCTGAATTTCTCTGAATTGCCGGCTTATGCTTCTTTGCTTGGGATCGTTATTATCGTTATTCCCTCTTTCAGGACAGCCGTGATGGCCTCTGACGAGCCACCGCAGCGAAACGCTGTGGCCTTTCCGCTTCGGCAGCTTTGCTGTCAGCGGGCTTAGACCTTTCAACACACACACCGAGCCACAGCCCACAGCCCACAGGGGCCACAGAACAGGGTGCGCAGCAACGCACAAACTAGCACGAATTACGCCAGCGTAAAGACGGCCAATGCACCAAGACCCCTACAGTATGCTAGTGAAGGGGAGTAGAGAGTACGGGAGTGCAACTTGATTTTGAAGAAGTTTCAGGTAGGCGAAAGCAGCAACCACATCGAAGAGTGCAAGCAGTTGTTACGACACGCAACGCAACCACAACTCTTCTTGCACCACTCCATCGTCAACTCCAACTCCAACCTCGAGGACGGGCAGTCGCGACGAACTACTCTGCATAGTTTCTGCTTTGGACAGGACTTCAGTTTAGGATGGTTTGAGAATTCAGTAGGATGGTTGAGGCAATTTGAGGCAATTTTGAGGCAAATCGAGGCAGATGGCGTGATTGCTTCGCTTCCCCCCTGCGAGGACTCGGCTCGTGGCTCCGGGTGGCAATTGCAAGAACCTGTCAGTTCCATTGTAGGCGTCGAGCGGCCTTTACTGAACCATAAAGCTACAGAACCGGAACCACACCAGAACCGCAAGGAGGTATAAATTAGTTCGAGAGTATTGCCAAGATGCCTTCAAAGCCCTGGAGCCACGGGCCACACTGAACGGTTTCAAACGCGCGGACTCAATTTACCAGAAGCCCTGAAGCCGATGTCGGGCCTGTCGGTGGAGGCCGGGAGACTCCGGGTTTGAAACGGGGGTCAGTTCGGCATTTTCCAGCTTAAGTTTAGGCCTAGGATGTGCAGTGACTAAACTTGCCCTCGTGCCCAAGCTCCCTCGAGACCCTTTCTTCCTTTTTGACCATAGCTGCGGAACTGTGCATGTTTTCCAGCAAGGTTTCTCCTAATCTCGACTGTGTTCCTGAGGCCGCGATGATACCCCCGTTGCCAACACCAGGCATGTGGCAGGCTGGCCTTTGGAAGGGTTCTTGAACACCTAGGCTCATTGGACGTCAATACTGAGTCAACACGTCCTGGTTTAAATGTCTTCCTTGCAAGGTACGATTATCGTACACCTTGGTGTGATGCCTGAAGATTTGCTAGGTGAAGCCATCACCTCGCGTGGATGTGCCTTTTCCAGAGCTCCCGTCCGATGCAGACACGGAGCAGCGCTTGGCACAAATAGGGCCGCAACCGTTTCGAGTCTGAATTCCACAGGGCCCAGGTCTGGTTTACTGTTGTTTCTGTGCTATCGGTATTCCCGTGAGTGCGGCTCATCGGCACAGCCCAGTGCAGGAGCTGCCATCTTGGCGCACTGGGCTCCACAGTGCCCGAGACCCAGCGACATGCAACAACCGCATGCCGCCGCAGGCTGGCGCGCGTTGAAGAGCGGCTGCAGGGTGGGCAAAGCCCCGCCAAGAAACCTTCGGGCATGAAAGCGCAACTCCTCCAAATCCTGCAACAACCCCATCTTCCCTGACTCATGAATCGTGGCCTCCTCGTATGCCCAAGACTTCAAGGACTGGAGGCTCCGACTGGGCCTGACGGTCTTCCACATTCACAAGGCCGACAGAAATCCAAAGGAATTCCTCGAGTTTTGGCGTCCCTTTGACCATTTCTTTGCTCTGCTGTTGCTTTGCTATTCCTTTGCTCTTTTCCTTCTTTCGGACTTTTCAGCATCCTCAGGTCTTGACTGGCCATGGACCACGCGCTTCAGCTTTTCTCTGCAGCGTGATTCCCCCAGTATCCCCAGTGCCTTCCTCCAGCACGACCGAGAATGCTCTTGAGCAAGGTTGAAGCTGCAGTAGCTTTTGTGCAGACCAAGTGCAAGAACTATGGGAACCTCTTGCCTGATACCTTTCCAACCAGGCTTTCACGACCGGCCAGCAGCTGGCCATTGGGTGCGCACATGCCCCTGCACCTGAAAGGGCTATTGATTTGGAGGCCAAAGTGGCCAATGTGGCCCGAGTAGCTATAAAGATATCAGCGCAAAGCCCCAAGGCTGGAACCTATGCACCTGACGGGACGTGCGACGAGCTGGGTGGAGGCACAGCAAAATGACGTGTGTCCATGTGTCTATATGCATATACGTATGTATGTATGTATGTATATATATATATATATATAGATGTAGGTGTCAAGGCTCCGAGGGATTTGTAATGCAGACTAAATCAATAGTCTATTTATATATATATATATATGTGTATATACATACATCAACGCACACACACACACAGAGCGCCCCTGGGGCCTGGAGGTTCCAACATCACTCCAGCAATCATGCCAACATTTGGGCAGGGTCGGCGGCTGTTAATCCGTCCATCGCAGTCCATCGCATTGTCTGGCGCGTGCCGGGAGCGTCCCCGCCAGCGTGTCCGAGTGACTACGTGTGTCCGAAAACAAGTGGTGCCGCAAACCAAAATCCAAAAAAATCGTGAGCATGTGCGACCAGGTCAGGGTTGGGGGCGGGGGCCGGAAAGACCTGTGCTCCTGTGCCAGGTGGCTGTGGCCGTGTCTTTGAGACTGATCTGTCACACATCTTGCCCGAGCAGGCCTGCAAGACTACTCGTAGCACCAACTGCGATGAAATACCTCCTCTTAGTGCAGGTGTGGCCATTCTTCTCCCAAGCTTTGGACTATATCTACTCTGAGGCATGCAGCACGGTCGTGAGCAGTTTTCCGTCTGCTCTCCTGTTTTTTGGTTCGGTTCATTAAAGATTGGCCTACCCTGCTTCCACAGGACTTGGTCTTGAATGAGGAGAACGCAGTTCCGCTGTTGAGGTGTGCCTGGATCTTGGCGCCGCCTTTTGGAGTGGAAGCCCTTGCTTCAATGTATGAATTTGTGAGAGCAATGTGCCCAGGCAACAAGGCCGCTCTTGCCATTTGCTTTGGCTCCAGAGGGATTGTTGTTTGCCAAACGCATAGATTCTCCAGCCTACCTCTAGCAAAACTTCCTGGCCGAGTTCTTAGACTTGGACACACGAGAGACTCAAGCCTAGACGCTCAAGAGAAATTCAATTTTACTCTTCGAGATATTGCCAACATGCCCCAACATGTCCACAGCAAATTTAAATTGCGTGTGTTTGCGTGTTGCCCCTTGTTGCTCCTTGCAAGAAGCATGGCCTGGAGCCTCTGAAGGAGTTCGGGGATGAGGCGCGCGCGGGCGCATCGCTCCCCGAAGCTTTCTCAACAACGTACACAAAACTCCTTCAACATGTTCGACAAAGCTCTTTGAAACTAGTCAGGCATGCCCTGGGGGGAGATGCCAGCATTGCTTTGCTAGGCTGGGTGGTGCGACCCCCTGTGATGGAGAGTGCACTAGGTCTGAGTTCAGGAGTTTTCGCTGTTGATGGCGTTGTGGTTAGCAGCTTCGAGAAGTCACAAAGTTGCTG